TGGGGTATGGGGTGGGGAGAGACAAGTAAGCAGCAGGCTGGACAAAGGGCAGAGCACAAGAAAGGTTCTTAGGTGGTCCCTGTGGGTGGCTGCACCGCACACCCCTCCCCCGGCCCCACCCCTAACTCTTGGGCCTGGTCCCGTGTACCTGACAGGAGGTCGCCATGCGCAAGCTGGTGCGCTCAGTGACTGTGGTTGATGACGATGACGATGAGGACGGGGATGACATGCTCCATCACCACCACGTGAGTGGCAGCCGCCGCTGAGGCCACTCCCACACTGGGGCAGCCAGCCAGGCCGGGGCAGCCTCTCCCTGGCCTCCCTCCCCATGCCAAAGATCACTTCATTAAAGAATGTTTTGGAACTTCACTTGCTGCCCTGGCTTTTCTTCTCTCTCCTCCCTATACCTTGAACAGGGGACCCAGGTGTCTGGGTGCCCTACTCTGGTAAAGAAGGGAGTGGGAATGCTGATGCCATGGAGTATTCCCATGGGAGCAGTGGACGAGGGTCTGGATTTGTCTCTTGAGAAGGGGATGGGAGGACAGACGTGGGGCTCCCAGCCCTGCCTCTCTCCCCCCATTTCTGTTGCATGCATGTCCTTTCTTCCCCATTTTCTTGCCAGAACGTTCTCTCTGATTCCCACCCTCTCCGATTGATTTTGCATGCCTGCCGCCCTCCAAGCTTGCCCGCTCTCTCCTGTCCCTCTTAAGCTTAGAGTAGCTGGGACAGGCAAAGCCACACTCCAGTGCCTTGTCCCCAAGTCTTCCCGGCCCTCCTCCCTTTCCATGCCTCCCCTCCCCCTCCTCCCAGCCCAGCCTCTCAGGCCCTATTGCCTGCCCTCTGGCCCCTTGAGGACAGAACCCCCCACCTTCCTGCCTGGTGGCTGGGAGCCCGCAGGAGTGTGGAACTGGTTGTTAGGCCTAAGCAGTCAGTCCCAAACTCGCCTGAGCCCCTGAGCCTTGTCTCCCTCCTCAGGGAACCCACTGCAGCAGCTCGGGGGACCCGGCTGAGTACAACCTGCGCTCGCGCACTGTGCTGTGCGGGACTTGCGGGCAGCCTGCCGATAAGGCGCCTGGCAGCGGCTCAGGAGCCCAGGTGGGCGGATCCGTCTCCTCTGGCTCTTCTGCCTCCAGCGTCACGGTCACTCGCAGCTACCGCAGTGTGGGGGGCAGTGGGGGTGGCGGCTTCGGGGACAACCTGGTCGGCCGCTCCTACCTCCTGGGCAACTCCAGTCCCCGGACCCAGGTGAGTTGTCTCTTTGTCGCCACACCCCACCGACAGAGGACCCCGGTCCTTGAGGGTTAGGACAAGGTGGGCCTGTGGGGGGAGAGCCTTCTCTTCCGCAGCCCGGGGGAGTGGGAGCCCCCCCACCGCCTCCCAAGGTCCTCCACACTCCCTCCCGCATCCTGCCCCTCCTGTTTGAGCCCCAGACTGGAGGGCGGGGCGGGGCTGAGGGTTAGGAGGGAGGGAAGGGCCAGGCACTGCCGCTCACGCTTCTCCTCTCTTCCCTCGTAGGCTGCCCAGAACTGCAGCATCATGTAATCTGGGACCTGCCAGGCCGAGGCGGGGACGCAGGCCTCCTGCTTCCTCCTCACCTCGTGCCCACCCCATCCCTGCACCTCATGGGCGGGGCCTTGAAGCCAAAGAAAAATACCCCTTGGGTTTTTTTCTTCTTCTGTGTTTTGTTTTTTTTCTAAGAGAAGCTATTTTCTACAGTGGTTTTATACTGAAGGAAGAACACAACCAAAAAAAAAATATATATATAGCATTTATCTCAGTTTGCCCTGCATTTTCCCAGCTTTCAGGAAACTCCATTATCTGCCTTAAAACCAAAGAAGGCTCCTCCAGGAGCCAGGGGAGAGGGGTGCTTTTACAGAGCCGAGTTTCTGCTTTCCTGCCTGCCTGCAGCCCCCACCCCGGGGCCCCGGGAACATGGAGCCTGAGAGGCAGCTGTGCAATCTTCTGTGCCATCTTCCCAGGCCCTGGGCTGGCTCCCATCCTCCAGTTACCTGGCTGAGTCCCACGCCCGCCCCCAGCCCCAGGTGACTTGATTCTCCCAAGTCCCAGCTGCGCTTGCTTTTTTGTATTTTATGAGACAAGAGATGGGAATGAGGTGAGCGGTCAAGGAAGGGGGAAGAGGGGTAGTTTGAGCCTGCTTCCACCCAGCTTTAGAGTCGGGGTGGGGTCTGCTGGTCACTGGAGGTCAAGGTCAAGTGGGTGCAAGGAGAAGGGAAAGGGAGGCTCCCTAGAAAAGGCGAGAGCCTGTGGGCCCCACCCAGAGGAGGACGGTGAGAAGGGGTGGAGGGTGCGGCAGTCATTTTTGGCAAACACTAAAGATCCCCTTGGCTCCCCATCCCCCATCTGCACCCCTTCTCTTCTCCTCAAATCAATACACTAGTTGTTTCTACTCCTGTCTGCTGTGGTGTCTTTGTTGGTGGGCGTCACCGTGTGTTCTGAGGGACAGACACACAAACGTTGCACAGTCACCAGCATCCTCATGTTCACTGCTGCCCAGACCGCCCCCCGCCTCCGGCTCCGGTGGGACAGGATGCGGCCTTCAGAGCACCGGGGTATACATTTGTGTCGGCTATAGGCAGAGGCTGTGACATAAGCAACACTCACCCACTTGGGGGGCTCCCCGCTTCCTCCCACAGCAGTTTCCCAGCACCTTCTACCTCCTGGGCACCGTCTGGATGTGGGCCCGGTCTGAGGGTGGTGCCATCTCGGGGAGCAGAAGCTAGGGAGGCATAAGAAGGGAGTAGGACTGACTGCCAACGCCCAGATAATGTCCCTTTGTGCCAGACTCTGCTCAGGTTGGCGAGAGGGAGTGAACAAGACAACACCTTCAGTGTCCTCAGGGGACTTACACTCCGCCGAGAGTCAAAAACGAGGATTCCTGTGGGCAAGGGGACGTGTCAGGCAGAGCAGCAGCCTCCGAGAGGGAGGCGGTTTATAATCTGGGGGCACAGGAGCCGGGACTAAGGAAAGGGCCTCCAAAAGGAAAATGAGCCACACTCACCAACCCTCCGTGGCCCTTTGTGCGTCCCACAGCATCTCTGCCCGTCTCATTGGACCTCTTCCTGTCTTGAGAGGCAGTTGTTGTCACGGGGACTCAGAGTTCACTTGCCCAAGGCCACACAGCTCCCGTGACATCATACTCCCCCCTGAACAAAAAATACTGATGATAAAATACAAGCTTACATCCCCTGGGCAGAGGCATTGAGCCTACTTTCAAGTCAGTGTGAGAACGCATGCCAGGGATTACGGGAAAACATTGGAAAAAGCAAAATGAGAGCAAACGAGCCTCTGACTTCATGCCGGAACCCGTCTCCCACGGGCTTGGGAAGGGATTCTGAGAGGAAGAGCTCCCCGCCTCCGTGGGCAGCTTCACAGAAAGAAACCACACCCCGGGCGGCTCAGTGGTGGAGCATCCACCTATGAACCGAAGGTCAGGTGTGATTCTGCTCTGGGCACGTGATGGGGTTGTGGCTGGATCCCCAGAGGGATTCTGAGAGGAAGAGCTCCCGCCTCCGTGGGCAGCTTCACAGAAAGAAACCACCCCGGGCGGCTCAGTGGTGGAGCACCCACCTATGAACCGGAGGTCAGGTGTGAGTTTGCTCTGGGCACGTGATGGGGTTGTGGCTGGATCCCCAGTAGAGGGCGCACAGGAGGCAGCCGATCATCATTGATGTTTCTATCTCCCTC